CCAGCTGTTATAAGTATATTCATTGATATTTTTTAAAGATATATTATAAATATATATTAGTGCTATAAGTATCTAGCCTGTATATATTATTATATTAGAAACTATAAAGATATTACCCATCTTTATAAAAATAATGAGAATAAGAAATACTATATTATTAACTATATGTGTGAATACTAGAAAATCTGTCTAAAAATAATTTATTCAAACTAATACATTATATTATTAGATTTTTTATTAATCTCTTGATTAAATATCATATGTTAAAAAAGATCTTCTAGTAAGCTATCTAATTTGATTATAAGTAGTATATAAGATATTATCTTACAAGGCTGAGGACTCATTATTCATAATCTATTAGATGAAATTATTTAATCTTAAAGAAAGATTATAGCAGTTTAAAGTACAGGTATTATTATAAGAATAGTAAAATCTTTTAACTATAATTATATAATAAAGAATCCTATATAGTATAATAAATACTAGAATACTCAATAAAATAAGCTCTGGAATCTTAATTATTAATTTATAAATCAATTTACTATAAGATATTAATTTGTAGAATTAAGATTAATAATACAATAATAAATATAAATACTAATAAATTCTTTTATACAGAATTTGTAGCTGCTTAGATTAATAAAATTAAATGATCTAGGTATTATTAAAATAACAAGCAATTAACTTTAATATTGATAATAATACTAACAATAACTATAAATGCATATATTATAACTTAATCGCTGGAAGTAACCTCTAGTTAAGATGTATAGAGAAATTAATTTTTAAGTCGATTTATTAATGAGGATACAAATTTACAAATATAGTTTATATAATTTTTTCTAATCTCTTAGTACTCTGATTATTCAGGATCGTATTAAAAACTAGGTTACTTATATATATAAAATTCATTTATTTAAGCTATGGAAAAATGTCTTTATATGAAATTCTTTTTATTAATTATAAATTTTAAATCATGATTATTTAGCTTATATTAATTAATATAAATTATATATGGATGTAATTATAAGAATCTTAAAATAAAGATTCTGGTTAATATAATTATTAACTAAAATATCAGTCTAGAGCTGCTATTTCCTGAATAAATATATATGAAATTATTAGTAAATTATCAATAATATAATAATTGATATGAGTTTAATTCAATGCTTAAATCTATTAAAATCTCCGTGTTAGATAAAATATAGTAATTATTAATTAAAAATTAGTTTATAAAAACTTCATATATATATCTAAAAGAATAATAAAAATCTCATATAATGTATTATATAACAGACCAGATAACTACTAAAATATCAAAGATTATATATAATAGATACATTGAAGAGGAAGTAAATCTATATAAAATTTGCAACAATATTAAAATAAATATAAGTTATAAATAACCTTAAAACTATTTCTATATTTTATATTACTCTAGTAATGAGAATAAGATAATATTCAAATTCATAATCTAGAAAAGAAAGTCAAGTTTTATAGATATTTTTTACTCCAGATTATTATAAATGATATTTCTTATTATTGTAATATATTACAAAAATTTACAAATAAAATTATATATTATTCTGGATTTTATAAGATATTTCATCTATACAATATTCTAAATCTTATCCTGTGACAAATTTTATTTTAAAATAATTATTATAGCAGACAATTAATACTTTTCTAGATTATAGATATTATTCTTATTTATTTTTATATCTTAATTATATTTATATTATATAAGCTAGACTGTTAGAGCAGAGCAGCTGGCTTATTATAATCAAGCAGATTATATAGATAATACAGAATTCTAAATGATATAAATTAAGCAATGTTATATAAGTTACTTCTATAGTATATTTTACTAGATTTTCTAATACTTTAAAAGAGTAGTAGTCAATTCCAAGTAGAATAGTAGCTAGTATTTATATATGTAATTAAATTTATTATATCTTCTATATTGTCTTTAACAGTTGTGAGTATTCTAATTATAAAAGAGAAGACTTAATAAATAAAAATTACTTTATATTTAAAATATATTATAAAAGAAAAAGACATACAGAAATTCTTTAGTATTTTTATTATGATATTTCTTCTAATAACTGAAACTTTGAGTAATAAGTATCTGATTAATACTAAAACTAGTATGACTTCTGTATTGTATAGATTATCCAGAAATAAAGATATTATTATAGTAAAATAATAAGTATATAAGAAATCTAATTAGAGAATTATAATTATAGGAATAGTTTGCAGATGTAAATAAGATACTGGAAGATATGAAATAATGATATCTCAAAGTATAAGAGTCTTTCATAGTTTTTATAATAAGAATTATAAAAGAATAGTTAAATATATATATAAAATAAAATCTTAGAATGAATTTGAATATAGCAGGGAAAGGGCTTGGAAAATTATTCTATATTTATTATTTAATATTCTAAATATTGAAAGCTGAGTTATATAAGAGCTTATTACTAAAAATATAATTTTAAGAAAAAATTAAATATTTTGATGCTGCGTGCAGCAGCAGTACTAGAAATTTAAATAATAAAAAAGGCTTAATTTTATGAATATATATATAATTAATCATATATTAAAAGAACCGACTCAGGTATTTATCTTAATAAATTATAATACATAGATTAGATCAATTAAATATGAATAAAGTAATAATAAAATCTAATAAATGATTTTTTTTCCGTTATATGGAAAACCTGGATAAATTTTATATATTTTTTATAGAAATGATATAATCTTACAGTTAGTATTACAAATCTTGTAATAGAAGAAATACAGTTAATAATATTAGATATGCTCTGGTTACAAAACCGGAATCTAGATATTAATAAAAGAACTTAATATTCTTATTGTGATAGAATAACCCAGCTATCGGGGTCCTGGGCATCGGGATGATGTATTATAGTGATTATGGGAGTCATAAGTTTATTAACAGTGATCCTGCACCCTATCAATACTTAAAAGATATTAATTTCTCTGGAGGAGACTACTGATTTCCTAAGAATTAGTTTATTTTATGGATATATGCTATTTTTATCATTATTGAATAAATTTGTTTATATTTAATAACTAATTTCTTATCCAGTTAATAAGCTTTCTATTCTAATAAGTAGATTCTATCATATTCTGATTCTTTCTATTTTAATTATTTAAGGAAGATATCACCCTTAAAGATAATAAAAAAAAATATCTAGTAATTATATTCATCTAGAATTATTATTAAATACTGTTTCTACTAACTGAAGAAATCTAATAGTTAGAGGATTTTGTATATTAATTAGAATAAGCTACTAATCTATAGAGAAGAATAGCTTATTTCCAGAAAAATAATATTCCAGGTAAAATATTTTTTAGGTATTACTAATTCTCTTCTAGATTAAAAAAAGATAAGAAAGAGATTAAGTTTAAAGATATTCTCTGTTTTATTCTGAATTTTAGTATCTAGAAATATTAAGAATAAATTACTAATCTGGAATATATATTTTAGAAGACTTCTAAGAAATATTTATTAGAGAAATACTTATTAAGATTCTTATTATTATTAATTATATAAATCTTATATACAGGCAGAGATAGTATTATTTTAATAATAATAAAAGCTTAAAAGTAAGATAATTTTTCAAGAAATTATAATCTTAATTTAAGAATTAAATTATTTAAATTAATCTAGAATACTGTTACTCTTTAACCTGATATTATAGCTTAATTTAAGCAGGTTTACTAGTAATATAATTAAAAACTAAGAAAGTTTTATACTTATTTTAATATTTTAAAATCATATTTTCTTTCTTAAACAGAGAAAGAAAAAGTTTTATTTTATTTAATTAAATTATTATTTAATTTTAATAATTATATTTATAAACATGTTCCCTATCTACCAGAGAAATAGAATAGAATAATAATAATTATTATTTATTATTATAAATTATAAAATAATAGAAGAAAATATAAGTGAAATAATAATTAATTTAATAATTATAAATCATATAAGTATTTCTAAGACTAATCTAATAAAGTAATTAAAAAAGATATATTAAATTATAAGAAAAACTTTATTAAGAAAATAATCATGAATTATAATACTTTATATATAATAATATTTAATATTTTATAAACTAATATTATACGGAAAGCAGAAAGATTTCATCTATTAAAATTTATTAATAAATATCAGATTCCGAGGAAAAAGTCAAGAAATTAAAATAGATCTTATAATTTTAATTTCTTTATTCACAGTAGAGACTACTTATTATATTTATATTTTTATTTATCTTTGAAATAGTCTTGAATCTTTTACAGATCTGGATAATTATATTAAAATAAATATTATTTATTATTAATTTATTAAAACTTATAAACTTTAATATAATGTAGTTACTATATCTTAGAATTAAAATTATTAATTAAATTATTAGTTTTATCTATAATATACAAAAGTTTTTTATTATTATTATGAATTTACAAGAAAGTATCTATACTTTTAAATAATATTATATAAAAAATAATTAAGATTCTTATTCAAAAGACAGTTTAATTTTATTATTTATAATTATATTTCAGGATCTTTATATCAATCTATTAATATAGGATTAAGAAATAAAAATTTAGTATATTTTTAATTTTTTCTTTTTATTATTTAATTTAATAAAGTAATCTAAAACTTAATAAAAGTATATATTATTATCAAGTTTTCTGAAGATATTTAATTATTAAAAAAAGTTTTCTGATTTATCTCTGAATCTAGAAATAATCTTAATTAAATTCTAGGATTTTTGAGATATATTTTTATAGATTATTTTAGTTATTTTTATAGTCCTGTGGACTATGCTATTAATATTAAATTTAATAAAGTATTTTTTTATAATTTTATATAGTTTTTATCAGAAGCTGAATTTAAGATTCTATAAGAATATATTATTAAAAACTTAAAATTAGACTGAATTTAATTTTCTTAAGAGCTTTAAAGATAGGAGCTTCTATTTTTTAAAATTAAAAAGAATAGTAATTTATGTCTTTATATAAATTATAAAAATCTTAATAAAATTTCTATAAAAAATTATTATTTTTTATTTATTATTTTAGAGATTTTTGACAGTGTCTCAGATAGTAAATATTTTTTAAAAATTAATATTAAAAATATTTACTATCAAATCTGTATCAAAGAAAATAATAAATAAAAGATAATATTTTATATTTAATATAATAATTTTAAATATACTGTCATATCATTTAGACTAATTGATATTTTTATAATTTTCCAGAATTATATATATATAATATTTTATGAATTCCTTAATAACTTTTATATAGTATATTCAAATAATATTCTTATTTTTTTACTAGATAAAGAATTCTATATAAATTATATTTATTAAATATTAGAAAGACTCTGAGAAACTTAATTTTTTATAAAATTATTTAAATATTTATTTTACTAATTCTAAGTTAAATTTCTGGAATATATTATTAATACTGATAAAGTATTTATAGATTCTTGGTAAATAAATAATATTATTTTATAAGTAATTCTTCAGAGTTATTATAATATCTAGATTTTTCTAAGAGTCTATAACTTTTATTATTAATTTATTTAAAATTATTAATAAATTATTTTTTTATTTTTTTTATTTCGTGGAGCAGTTAACAGCTGAAAATTTAGAAAAATCTATTTAAATATATATAAATAACTTATTTTTCATTATTTAATTATTATTATCTTTTAGTATCTTTAATAATATACTTTAATTCTATGAGATCTCAATATTTAGAAATTAGTATATTAAAGAAAAAGATAAGTATTTTATTTTAATTTAATAATAAAAATATATTTTTTCTAGTTATTTTTTGGTTTTGTAAGTTTTTCCATGTTAAATTAAATTATAATTTTTTAGATTAAATTTTAAAACTTATTTATTATCATTTACTTTTTTAACAGTAGTAACAGTATCTCGAAAATACTTTTTAAATAATTAAAATCTTATTTAATTATTATAATTTTTTATGTGTTAAACTGCAGAGTTAATAAAAAATAAATTTAATAATTTAAAAGTTTAATTTTTTATAATTTTATTATTAAATGTAGAACAGGAAAATTAAATCTAGTAAATGGATTTTTTAGAATATTTTCAAAATTATAAGTAGAACCTGTTCTATAAAAGAAATTATTAATTTTAATTTGAAATAATTTATAGATATATTATTTTTAATAATACAGGACTTAATTAAAGAGAAATTTTAGTTTAAATTTTAAGATATATAAAATTATCCTGTATTTAATATCCGTATTATATTAAATTTAAAAGATTTTAATAGTTAAACTGGTATAAAGATAACTAATTAAATTATTTATAAAAACTTATTTTAAGAAAGGATTAATTTTTTAATCTATAATATTATAAATATATATTATAAAAGCTTTATACTCAGATATATATAACTTTAAATGTAAAAAGATAATTTTATATTTATAGAATAAAGATTTAGAAATATAATAATTAAATATTATTATCTAATAAAAATAAGCAGGCTCAAAGTATTAGACAGTAAAAATTATGAATTATTTATATTTTAAGATTATTATTACATTTTATTTTCTGAGATATTATACCAGATATTTATTTATTTATATTATAATAATCTACTAGCAGGATATTTTAGAAAAATGTAAATAAAAATATTACTATATAAAAAGTTCTATTAAAATAAATTATATTATATTATAGTTAAGTATATCTGAATCTGCTTAATATATTAAAATAATATTATTCTTATTATTATTATTAACTAATTCTTATAATACTGTTTTTCCTTTATTATATTATTAATAAGAACTACTTTAGACCTTGCTAAACTATTCTATAAAAAAATTAAATCAATTGTGAGGTTTTTAATAGATATTATATCTGATTGAAGAATTTATTTTTATAAGTTCTAGTTAAATTTAATTTATAATATTTATATAACCTTAAAGCTTTTGACAGTACTTTATTCTTAAATTAATAGTTAAATAGAATAGATAGACTAAATTCTTAAATATTATTTTTCATATAATTTAATATTAACTACTTTATTTATAATAATATAAATAATATAAAGATAGATTTATTTTTATAATATTGTATAATTATTTACTAGACTTTTATATTGGAATTAGGAATAACTTTTAATAGTAAGAAGTCCCAGCTGTACAAAATAGAATTAAGAAACTTGGAAAATAAGAGATTAACTACTAAAAAATATAATAACTAATTATGAAAAAATAAAAGAAATATTATAATAAGTATAGAAGAATCATTTTTAAAAAAAGATTTAATTAAACTGTTAATCTAGAACTTATAATTTAAGGAATTAAGAAAGTTAGCTCTAAAATTTATGAATTTTTTAAATTTTTAAATATATTAAATTCTAAGCGTACTGCTTATATTTTTCTAAAAAATATAAATAAATTTATGATATATTCTATGTTTCTTTATTAGAATTATAAAATACTAGTTAGGATTATGAAGAACTACTCTTGATATTAAAATTAAATAATAAAAATAAATAAAAAAATTTAAAAATATTAAAGATTATTAATATTATGATAACCAAGACTACTACTTGATTAAATAGAAAAAATAACTAAGTAAATATAATTAATAGATTTCTAGTAAAAATATAGAGAATATATCTGAAGCTATAAAATAATATTAGAAATCTTATAAACGATATAATGCATTAGAGAATAAAAGATAATCATTAATAAATTCTTCTATACTTTCAATAAATAAGTTATAGAAATATTAACTTCTTCATATTCTTTATTAATTATATTATTATAAATTAAATATATTAATAAAAATAAAACCATCCTGTTATAAGATGGTAGAAAATATTTAAATACATCTAATTATATCTATTACTTATTTAGAAATTAAATAATAACAATAACCAGATCTCCTTACTATAACTTAGAAATGTTTATTATAAAAATTAACTTTAAAAAATACAAAAATCTGTTATTAATCTGATAATATTATTTTTATTATTTAAAGATACTCTTGAATAATTAATATCTAAATATTAGATATATATTATGATTTTCATTAAATTGAGAAAGTTGTGCGGAGCAGAAATCTAGTTTATATATTTAAAATTATTTAATAATAAATATAACAGTATTTCTACTTTATAAGTGTAATAATTCTTAAGCGAGATATAAAGACTAGAATAAGAAATTAAGTAAATTAATAAAATACAATAAATTTTAATAAACTTAATATACTTAGTAATAAATTCCTAATAAAATATTAATAATAGAATTATAAAGATTATATTTTCTAATTATAATCAACTTATATAATAAAGAGATTTATAAAATTATTTATATTTATATAATCCGGACACATGGGACCTGCTTTAAAATAAATATTCTTTATTTTAAAAATAGAAATCAAAAAAATATATATATACTGGTTATTTATACCGGTGATAATAATACTTCATTTATTGAATAAGAACTATAAGAATAGTATAAATTAAATAATATGATTATACTTTACTCTTTATATGTAACTCTAATTATAAGAAATAGAAAGAATTAAATAATTTTATATTTATAATTCTTAATATTACATGTGAAGATGGTCCTGCGGTATTTTTTAGAATTATAATTTTATATTTGAAATATATATTTTTCTTCAGAAAATATATAAAACTTTTACATTTTATCATTGTTATTCATCAATATAATATGTTAGCTAATATAGTTAATACTGATTTAAACTTATTTAATATTTATACTGTCTTAGGTTACTTCAATACTATTATTATAATTTAAAAGATTAATACTTAAATTATTCATATAACTAAATACTTAATTCTAGAATTATTGAAATAATAATTTATTTTAAATATTATTCTATATTTTTTATTTCCTGTGTATATACAGCTAAAACTTTTATTAATAAGATTTTTAAACTATTAATTTATGTTCTATTTTGATTAAATTAATAGATAAGTAAAATATATTTTATAAATATTTTTAAACATTAATTATATTTCATATATATTAATATATTTATATAATTTTATTTAATATAAGCAGCTGGCGCGCCAGGTTATTTATAAATATATTAAAAGTGAAAAGATTATTATTTTTATTCATAATAGTAAACAGATTGGCTTTACTATCATTAAAAATACTTAATACTTTTTATATATACTTAATATTATAAACTGTAAAATAATTCGGAATCTATATTTTTATAAACTTCTGATATATCTATTATTTTCTAAATTTTTTATTAATACTGTTAAAATGATAATTTTTTATTAATCTTAATCTATTTCATTTATTATTATAATAGAGTCTTTACTTCTGAATAAAAGATTTATAACTTTATTAAATATATCATTAATTTTGATATAAAAAATATTTTATCAGTAATCCATAAATCTTATCTATATAAGAAAAATTAAATATTATTTATCTTTTATATTAAGTTCCATAATCTTAGTCTATATATTAAAAATCTTATTTATATAAATATTTATGAACTGCTACCTACACGCGGCTAGATTAATGTATATTATTTTATTATTTTTAATTATTGTACTTTTTGATACTGCTGGATATTTCTATTAAAAATATATAATAAAATATATAATAAGTTAATTATTTTATAAAATTATTTTAAATACCAAAATATTAATATTATATATATTTATAATAATAATATACCTGAATATTAAATATATATATTTCATTCTTCAAAATAAAATATTATCTAGAATCCTGTTCCATACTACTACTTAAATCTTAATTCAATTATTAAGATTAAAAATTATTATTTATATAATTATAGATATTAATAATAGCAGATAACCAGTTATCTTATTTTTTATAAAATTATATTATTTTTTTAGTTAATTATATACAGAATAAATTTATATATAATATTATTAAAAAGATTTTATAAAGCCCTGTACAGCGTGTAACTAACTATTCTATAATAAAGATTCTTGATTACTGTTACTAGTATTTTACTTTTAAAAAAACTTATAATAAGCTGGAAGATTATATACAGAAAGATTATTTTCTAATTTTTTTAAATTAGTTTGTAAGATTTATAATATTTGAATTCATTAAATTATATATATTTATGATGCTATATTTGATGAAGAACCTATTTTTAAA